AGCCTTACCGCAGTGGACCACGTAGACCACTTGCAAGACACCTTTGATGTTCTCAGATCCTACCACATGAAGTTGAACCCTGAGAAGTGTGCCTTCGGGGTAGGATCAAGAAATTTCTTGGGCTTAATGGTTAAACAAAGGGGAATTAAGGCAAATCCAAATAAAATCAAAGTCATTCTTGATATGAGGTCACCCACCACAATAAAGGAGCTCCAACACCTCAATGGGAGAATTATAGCTCTCAATACATTTGTCTCCAAGTGTCTAGACAAGTGCTTACCCTTATTCAGAATATTTCAGAAAACTTTTGAATGGGGACCTAATGCAGAGGAGCCTTTTCAAAAATTAAAAGCTTATCTAGTTGCACCCTCTCTCGTTTCTCATGCAATGCTAGGAGAAATCTTATAATTATACCTCTTTGTCTCCCCCGTCTGTAGTGAGCTCCACCCTTATCAGAGATAACGAAGGGGTACAGAGGCCCATCTTCTACGTAAGTAGGGCATACCGGGGAGCAGAGGTAAGATATTTAGGGCTAGAAAAGTTAGCACTCGCTCTGATCTCAATAGTAAGGCGTCTCCAGCACTACTTCCAGATTCATACTATTGTCGTTGTCACAGATCAACCTTTGAAGAGAATTCTGAGAAAGCCATATGTTTTTGGAAAACTCCTCAAGTGGGCAGTGGAGCTGGGCGAGTTCGATGTACAATATCAGTCGAGGGCAACCATCAAGGCACAAGCCCTGGTGAATTTCGTTGACAAACTCACACCGCCGAAAGGGGAGTGCTATGGACCTTCAGCATCTCCATTAGAAACCTAGGAAGCCTCACCAGAGGTTCAGGGAATGCAAATAGACACCCAGACGCCCTAACCACCTAGGTGCCAAGCACAAGCGCCAAGGACACACTAGCGCCTTCGCCTTGCCTAGACGCCTTGACATCCTACATGGCCTTTGAGGCTCCCTCTTCAAGCATGGCCCCATCTGCCTCCTCACTCTTGTCGCCTCCCTACACTATGGAGTCATCTCCCTAGAAAATTTACGTGGATGGCTCTTCATCCAATAGCGATGGAAGTGGAGCAGGCCTAATATTAATCAGCCACAAAGGCACTCCAATCAAATATGTTGTTACACTAAACTTTGCAGCCTCCAACAGTGAAGCAGAATACGAATCCCTCCTCTCCAGCCTAAGGTTGGAAGTTGAAATGGAAGCCTAACACCTCATCACCTACAATGATACTCAGTTGATAATCAACCAAGGGAGGAGTTCAAAGCAAAGGAAGGCAGGATGTAGGAGTACCTGGCAATGGTGCAAGCCCTACTGACCAAGTTCCACCATTTCCAAATCCACTATGTCCAAGGGAAGAAAATGTTGTAGCAGATGCATTGGCCAGATTTGCCTTGTCATTAGAAGTCCCACTAGGACCAAATTTTACTAGTCACCAATTTAAACCAAGCAGACTAAGTGTAGAGGCCATTAACATCAACTGCATATCTTTTGAGTTGAACTATATGACCCCCATTATGGCGTACCTACAAGATGACACACTACCAGATAACCCATTAGAAGCCAAGAAGCTTAAACTAAGGGCCTCCAAGCTCACCATTTTATAGGACATCCTGTACAAGAAGGGTACTCCCTATCACTACTGTGTTGCCTCTCTCCAAAGGAAGCTAACCACGCCTTGTGGGAAATCCATGAGGGAGTTTATGGAAAACATTATGAAGGACGCTCCTTAGCCCATAAGTTGATCAGATAAGGGTACTTCTGGCCTAACACGGTTAGGGATGACCAAGAGTTCACCATAAATGTGACAAGTGCCAACGCTTTGCCACTGTGCCAAGACAACAACTAGAGAAATTAACAGTCATCACAAGATCTTGACCCTTCTCCAAGTAGGGCATCGACATCTTGGGCCCTCTATTCATCAGCCAAGGGCAATGTAAATTTTTGATAGTAGTTATTGACTACTTTACAAAGTGGGCAGAGGTTGAGCCCTTAGCCAAGATAACAGATGTATAGGTTAAAGATTTTATCTGAAAAAAATCTAGTTTGCCGCTTTAGAGTGCCCCACGTCATAGTTAGTGACAAAGCTAAGCAGTTCGATAGCAAGCTTCTGAACTCTCTCGAAGCCGACCTCTAGATCAAGCAGCCTCATTCTAGCCTAGCACACCAGTAGACAAATAGACAGGCAGAGGTCATAGTCAGAACAATATTGCACAATCTGAAGACTAGGCTAGAAACAGCCAATGGTCTCTGAGTAGATGAGCTTGCAGGGGTGTTGTAGGCATACCAGACAACACCAAGAGTCCCTATTGACGAGACTCGCTTTTCCCTTGCCTTTGAAACAGAAGTGATCAGAATTGTGGAGACTGGGATACATTCCCTAAGGGTCCAACACCACGACCCCATCACCAATGAAGAAGGCCTCCGTATCAACCTCAACTTTATAGAGAAGGAAAGAGAGATGGCCAAGGTCTGGAATGTAGAGTATAAATGCCGCATGAAAAAATACTATAAATTGAGGCTGAAGCCTTGCTCCTTCTTACTTGGATATCTAGTTCTCAAGAAAGTAATACTCACCACGAAAGACTCACGAGAAGAAAAGCTCGGACCAAACTGGAAAGGGCCCTACACTGTGATAAAGATAGTAAGGCCGGACATCTACAGAATCCAGAATTCTAAGCGAAAGCTCTTACCTCATCCATAGAATGCTGAACATCTGAAGAGGTATTATCAATAACACTTAAGGAGGGTAGAAGTGATAAAATTGAAGGACTTGATTTTATTTTTTTCTTTTAGTTAAAAGACTTGCACCTTTTTTGGGGTTATTGCTCACCATTACTTATTATGAGCAATCATTAAATAAAATTTTCTAAATTTACTACAAAAAAGTTACCTAGCATTTTATTTCAAATAAATCTCAACTGAAACTTTGAAAGGCAAAGGCCACTATTACAAAAGTTAGAGCATAGTTTGACACTATCTAAACAAAAAAAATTCAAAAGTCCTCAGTACTTTGACTGCTCTCACTATCGTCGCCCTCCTCCTCATTGTCATCTGGTCCACCATCAGAGTCTCCATCATCATCATCACCTGGTGGCACTTGGTATGGAACAAACCCTAAGAAGTCAATATCAGCTAAGACAACCAAAAATTTCTCCCATAACCTCCTCATAGCCATCAATAAAAGCATCTACAAAGCCACCGTCTGAATCAGCCTCGACTTTGGTAGCCCTCTCACAGGCCAATCCCATATCTGCCTCAGCTCGAAAAACCCTTTCACGAGCCGCCTCCAACTCTACCTCCTCTCTTAAGCGGGCATCCTCGCCATTAGCCTCTAACTTAGCGGCCTTTTCGCGGGTCACCCCAAGCTCTATATCTGTCATCGTGTAGGCAGCTTCACTATGTGCGGCCCTCTCACTGGTTGTCACAAGCTTTACCTCTACCTTGAGCAAGTAGTCTCACTAAGAGTAGCCCTCTCACAGGTTGCCACAAGATCCGTCTCTGCCCTCGAGCAAGCAGTCTCACTAAGAGTAGTGCTCTCACGGTTCACCATAAGCTCTACTTAGGAAGCCTTACCATTAGCCTCGATCTTGGCAATCCCCTTATGAACTGCCAGTAGCTCCCCCTTTACAGCCTCATGAGCAAGCCTCTCCTCCTTTATAGTCGAGTATAGTTGGTTGAACTGAACAACCCTTGAAAAGAGGCATACAGAAGCAATAGAAAGCTGAAAAAAAATATAGGAAGGTCAACGCCATAAAGGAGGCACAAAGGCAAGGAAGAAAACATATGTTTACCAGAGCTAAGCCTTCTAGGACGGTGTCAATAATGCCCTCAGTGCCCCGAGCACCAACCTGCCTGATCTCTACAGGGAACACAAATCTCCCAAGTCGTTCCTTAACGATCCACACATCATCTAGCATGGACACCATCTGAGAGCCTAACTCTATAGAAGTCTCTGTCGGAGAATTGGATGTATAAGAAGCAAGAGGCGCGATGTCCTAGGAAGCCTTTAGAGGGGCAGTTACCTCTGGAGTAGTAACTGAAGGAACCTCTAGAGGAATCACTGAAGAAGCTATCTGGGGAGGAGCTTCTGGAAGGGTTATCTTAGAAGGGCCTGCTAGAACATCATCCACCCTAGCCGTCTTGGGTGAAGGAGTACTCCTAGTGGAATAACGGGACTCCACCACTGTCATATCCATTGCAAAAGGGTAAAGTGTTACACTACTAAAAAAGAGAGAAAAATATGAAGGAATCCAACATACCTTTTCTCTTCGATGAGGAGTTGCTAGCCTTGGAAGAAGACACACCGCCCTTATCATCTCTAGAAAGAGGGTCCTTAGCCTCACCCTCTCTAGGCGTGAGGGTCCCATAGTCCCTTATGGGACAGGCCCTCACAACTTGAAGCTTCCACTCCTGATCTGCTGAGAGCACTGGGGAGCTTGGAAAAAAAGGTGGTTAATACCTAAAAAAAAAGGAGAGAGGTTGTACTTATCCTCTTTGGAAGGCCCCACCTCATTGGTACTAGAGCCATATCCACCTCTGAAGCCCACTCTTCTCCTACAAACAGGAAGTGATCTTTATAGCTATGGTAGTTGGATCATAGTCGAACAATTAATTTTTCTCCCCTCATAGTGAAGTAATACTAGTAGTGGTAGGGAGCAAGATTTTTACTCAAAATATAGGCAGCTGAAAACTCTTCATGGAAGGCATCCTCATAATGCACCCTCCTTCGTAGTGCAAGAAATCCCTGCAAAACTCTCAAACCATTGGGCAATAAATGCCCCGGCGTTAGTGAAAAATAATGAAGGATCTGGAAAATGGGAGGAGATATGGGAAACCTTAACCTCGCCTCAAGTACCTCCTCATAAATAACAATGTCCTCCGAGGAATCATCAAAGGCTGGCTTGCCCATCTCAACCCAACGGCACAACACCATAAGAGGATGTAAAGAGTGGATATAATCCTAATAGTGTTAAGGGAACTAGAGACAGAACTCACCTTAGAACCATCATCAATAGCCACTTTACCACGATACTTGAGTCGTCGTGGATGAGGAGGTGCACTACCACCATCATCTCTCGCCACCTGTCCAGCCCTTGTCTTTGCATGTATCTTTTTCCTGACACCTAGCCTGAATGCCTGTACTGCGACACCTGCCATCTGCGCCCAGGCTTTTGTGTCTGCTCCTGTACCTGCACCTACCCTTGTCCCAATGCCAACCACGATGCCCTGAGCACCCACGATGGCCTCCCTGCCAGCTCTTGCACCCTAGCTATTGCCCATGCCAGCGGCGACAACGCCCATACCTATCTTGCCTGTGTCTGCTTCACTCACACCACCTTTGTCCTCCATCACTCTTCAGTCTAACCCTTTCAAGGAATGGAACAAAGGGAAAGGAGGAGGGACCTATTTATAGCCCAACCTTGAGAGTTACCTTGTAGGATTGGCATTCAAGTATCCTAATTGGAGTAGGATTAACATTGAGGAGCTCTCACTCACTTTGGCAATTATTGACTTGATCCGAAATGTGTACACCCAAGTGCAGGCGTTCAAGCTGTAGTAATAATTCGGTTAAGTTCGGAGTCGAATCCACAGGGAATTATGGTTAGTTTTTTAAAGTAGTGACGGAGACCAAGTAACTGGAACCCTTGAGATTTGAAGTTATGGGATTTTCTGGACAGAATATAAGATTCTTTCGAAGGGGTTTTTTTCTGGACAAAATATAATAAATTATCAAATGTAACAGTCACCCTTTAGCTCGAGGATCTGAACATGTAGTTACAGTTTATTATACTTGTGCTTGGTAACTGAATTAATCCCTGTGTCAACATAAAGTTAATAGGAAAATAAAGATGGATTGTGAGAATTAAGAGCATGATTCCGATGTCATTGTAGAGGTTTACAAGAATTATTTGTGCCGAGACTCAACCCGTCTACTAACAAGCAAGTGTCTCTACAAGGCATCCAACCATTGCGTTAATATTCCATTCTTTAAATGAAGCACAATAATGATGAAGATTGAAATGTAGTCATGAAGATCTAGTCAGGGTACTTGACTAGAACCAATGGGTCTTTCTATGCAAGAGTCATTCATGTCATAGAAAGCACTCACGATTGTACAAAGTACCTTAGCTATGCTAGATGAATTCAGTCATTCAATAAACAAGTGTAATATAAAGTATTAAGCATAAACGAAATGCACAAATATAACTTTCAGATAATTTATACATGTCCATCACCTCTTACTAAAGAGTGAATGAAAAATTACTAACTCTTCATGGCTTTGGTAAAGCTAGAAAAGTGAGTGATGCTCATCCCTCAAAGTAGAGGATTTACAACGTAAAACACACTACACAAGGAGCCAATCTTCTACGAAGAATGAGTGAATCACGTTCCACCTTTCACGGCTTTGATAAAACTCTAGCAAAGTGGAAGTATTTAACTCCTCTAAGGGAAGAAGGAAACTCAAACAATGGAAGCAAATAAAACTAATAATGAAAATAGAAGAAAGTTAGTCACTTTTGGAGGGTTTCCATCTCAACAAAAATATGATCTATCGTCCTCTATGCAAGTAAATGTAAACTTAAGTCTAATTCTACAATTGGCTCTAACTCTATCTATGTCTCTTGAAGCTCCCACCATGGGAGTATTTTTAGGAAAAGAGGAGGGGGCAAGAGAGTGTGAAAGAATAGTGCAAGGCCTTCAAAGTCCAAGTGAAACCCAACCACTCTGCAGCCTGTCTGGGGGCAACGTTCGAACATTTTCTGACATTCGAATGTTGTCTCATGTCTTTGCTTGATGGGTGTTCGAACGCCAGATGGGATTTGAACCTCCTATTCAGGTGGCCTATGTTCTGTTGTGAGAGCTACTTTCACACACTATATACCATTGCCCTTGCACTCAACAGTCCGGTCCTCAATAATTCAGGACAACGTTCAGACGTGGATTAACGTTAGAATATTGTAGTCAAGTACCTCTGTGTTTTATTTCTTAGCTGCAACACGCCAAGTATCAGCACTTTGGCAATCTGGTTTTCAAATAATTCAAGAAAACGTTCGAACGTGGATTGGCATTCGAACGTTCTTGCCTATTTCAGGCTTCTCCAATTTTTTTCCAGAACATGTTGGTGTTTGCATGAAAGTTTGATATTCGTTGCCTTTGGGCCTTTGTTCAATTTATGTCCTGAAATGTCATCATTTAAACTCCATCAAAGTATAATTAGTCTTAAAAATGCATAGTATTATGCTAATTTTAACTACTAATCAATTACCTAATTGGATTGGCATTCAAGTATCCTAGTTAGAGTAGGATTGACCTTGAGAAGTTCCCATGAGGATAAACCATACCAAAAATGAAAAAAAGAAGCGTAAAAATAATAATAAATAATAATAAAAAAGTCTTCTCCAAGGAAAAGAGTTTAGCCGCACTTAGACGAGCTAATGTCCTCTCCCCTAAATCATGGGCTCAGGGCATGGGAGACAAATGATGGGCACGACCCAAGGCCCAACTCAAATAATGGTCCTTGACCAGATCAACCCCAACTTAGATAATCGGCCCAACCCAGACAAGCCCAAATGGGTCTGGCTCATAAGAGACCTAGATCTAGTCAGGCTCACCAAAGCCCCGAGAGCCACATCATCCTAAAGTCAAGGAGTCAGAAACACCATAAGAGAGCCTCATCTACGCCATCCTAGAGTGAGGAGGTCTGCTATGCCATCCTTGGATCAGATATTGAGGAGATCTCCACGACTTCTCTGCAACTACCTCATCTATTGTGAGGATGGCGCCCGCTCCACAAAATCAGCCTTTCTGTTACTGATAAGATGTCTCAATCTATTAGGAGACACCTATAAATTGTAAGCCCCACCTATACATAGGGGGCATCTCTCACATCTTGTATCTTGTCTATTACTCACACTTGACCACCCAACATTCTTTGAAGCAATAAAACATTCAGGTCATTCTAACCCTTCTTAGTGGAGTAGGTCACTTTGATCGAACCACTTAAATTGTGTTTTGTTTGTGTTGACTCTCTCTTTATTTATTTACTGCATTAATTACTTGACATGTGGTGTATAAAACTAATTGATGCATCATTGTATGTCATTGTTGATCTCCCTCAAGATAAAATCATGGTTCCGTCTTTGATTATATAACTCTAATTGTGACTTAAATGTATCTTAACAAATTATAATTTGATTTAAAAAAATTATAATTTTTGGTACGCACCACTTTAATCTTCCTCATGTAACAATGTGTCAAAAAATACGGAATTGAGAGGGAGAGAATGGAGGGCTCACGCCACTGCCTAACATGAAGACCAGAACAATTGAAAGAACGCGTTCGGAGTCAATGAAAGTGACGGTGGAGTGTGGAGAAAATATATACTGGCTTTATTAAGGTATTTTTGTGTTCAAGCTTTTTTATAAACTCTATCCTATTCTCACTTTCTCGGCATAGAATATCACCATTGTTTATTTACAACTTAGAATTTCATGATGCTCACATTTTATTTTGGTGGCATTTTAAAAAATAATTTTCAACTGTAATTCTTATTTTGATTTATTAATAGTCGACGATTATAAAAATACATGTCACAATATAATTTGATAAAATATAAAAATATTGTTTTGAAAAATAGTTTTTGGATACCAAAATCTAACCCCAATATATTCAACTCACCTCCAAGATCATGTTTTTGATTGACAAGAGAATTGGACACCAAGTTAGTCCCGATCGATAGATCATAGGATTTGAACCTTTGCAATGCATTATCCCAGTTTCGTATCATTATTTTTTTCCAAGAGTTCAAACCAAAAAAAAATTAAAGATAAACAGAAGCCTCCTACCCCCCCCCCCCCCCCCCCCCCAAAAAAAAAAAAAA